AAAAACTTTTGTTACACACTCAAGGGATTATCAAGAGACATTTGTGGTTTGTTAGTACTTAAACTTTGGATTCAAACTGTGGTATAAGTGGTGACATATCTAAGTTAGATGATATCTTTTTTTTTATATGTACAGGATATGGATTTGAAACATTGCGATTTATTTTACAATTCTAAATTATTTTTACATTATTCACACTATGACATACAAAGGTATAGTAAGTTTGACAAGATATTTTAAATACATCACAGGACACTCTATCTACCTTAGGAGTACATTGTACAGAAAGTGACGATACTGTTACTGTTAAGCAGAATGATGATTTACCTTTCTGTCACTAAGTTTATCTATTTATTTGTATTTATATGTTTTTATATAAATAATGGTTTATTTAACAGTTTGTCTGTTGTTATGTTAATAGATATTTTTTTTTCTTACATTCTTAATTAGTCAATTTGAACGAACTTTAAAAAGAAATTTATTATGAATCCAGGACATGTTAATAGATTTTTTTTTTTAGATTGTTAACTACTCATTTTGCAAAGAAATTCTTTGTGAATCACAGTGGATAAAGTCAAGAATCGGATAACATTCGTAAAGAACTTGATAAAGCATCCAGATAAAACAATATTTATAGTATAGGTATATGTCAATACTGAATGTTAATTTTGTCAAAATGATTGCATTATACATACGATTTGGAGCAAGTGTGATTCATATCAATTAAATTTAATTTAATGAAATTTATATAAAATTAAAAATGATGGAAAAATGATTTTATATTATAGAAAAGAGATGAAAAGTATTGAATCAAATGTAGTTTTTAATTTTTTTCAAATTTTTTTAATAATTAATCGAGTATTTTGATGAGCATCAAAATATTTTCAAATCCTCATTATTAGTGGTTCCGAGTAGTATTTTTTGGGTTTAATTTTTAGTGAATATTTTTTTAGATCTCAAGAGCTAAACTTAACCACTATCAAAAATAAAAATCAATTATTACTGTATTTTATTATTATTTTTTTTCTTTATGTTTATTTTCACAATTCAATTTGATAATTCCTTTCACATCACATAATTTGTAAAATTTTTTTTAGTTTCGAATTGTATGAATATTGAGTGCATGTCTATCAGTTTTCGAAGAAAGGACACTAGAGCACCTAATGTGTCTATGTCCAAATCTGTCCAGAACTAGCTTCAATTTTACGAGGGCCTCATGCTTCAAATCACTCGGCGTTATCTGTAGCATTAGCATTGGACAGATTCTTGCTTTTGTAAATGTCTAAGGCTGGTTCTAGTTTGACCTTAGCTCTACTACCTACTTTTACGAGATTTTTGTGGATTCAAAACGGCTGTTTTAGCTAATTGAGGAGGACTTCTCCTCCCTCCACCACAACTAGCGTTATCTGTAGCATTAGCATTGGACAGATTCTTGCTTTTGTAAATGTCTAAGGCTGGTTCTAGTTTGACCTTAGCTCTACTACCTACTTTTACGAGATTTTTGTGGATTCAAAACGGCTGTTTTAGCTAATTGAGGAGGACTTGTCTAACTAACTATGAATATTGGTTTCTTATATTGCTTTTAAAAATACAATAGACATTATAAAAAATTATATATACTTTCATCTTGCTAACTAATTTGTGTACTTCTCATAAGCTTCGTGATTATTCAATGACTGATCTAAGATCAGTGTTCCGCTCCGTGCGGTTAGTGATCACTCTTAGATAAGACAAGTTGGGCAGAGCCTGTTGGTTTTCGCATATAGCTTCAGGGCTCTGTTCGTTATGTATTCTTTGGCGGGATCTTAAGGTCTGTTAGCATGTCATTCGTGCGGATGTGCCATGGCACTTTGAAGAATCTTTGAAGAGCTTGATTTCGAACAACTTTTAACTTCTGGATAGTGGAGTTGGCAGTTTTGCTATACGCGACTCACCCATAAAGTGGCTGTTGTGTTTGAAAACTGGTTGAAAGCATTGCAGTATTTTTACGCAGCTATTTCTTTTGTCTTGTATGTGCTTGTGCCAAGTGAACCGCTTATCAATCGTAATTCCTAGGTATTTAATGTTGTCATCTTTATTTCAAATGCTAATCAATCGTTGTCTGTTGTTAAGTCATCTTCGAATCTCATAGCCAAGTCCTATAAACAAGGAGTGTTTTTGTTATATAATTGCCTCAAATTAATCAAATAATTTCAAATTAAGGTATTCAAGGAAAATATTACGTGTTGAGACACTCACTAAGAAAGCCAATAAATTTGGAACCCTTAATGGAGGGGGAACAATGGATGGATGTTAAACTACATAACTCATGTTAATATGTACAAATAGCCAATCATGCAAATTAAAATTTTTGTTATATAATTTTTATTTTTAAAAAATCATTATTTTATTTAATATATAATAGTAAATGTTACAAATTTATTCCGAGTGATAAAAGTTTTAACTAGTTTCTTTTAATGATCGCTAAAGACTGACTCTTTTGATTTTTATGAAGAATGACTAAAATCATTCCAGAAATTGTAAAATTGGATTTTG